GGTAAAATGTTAGGGTTAAAAGCCAAATATGTCTATGGGTTAGAATAATTATTAGTATAGTCAGAGAGTTAATAATGCAAATAAACCAAAATAAATAAAGGATGGTGACAGTAATACAAATTCATGCTTAAAGTAAGGTATCTTAAGTGTAATTAACCCAAAACTTGATATTTAGGCTAATATTAGCCATTTACGTTTGGTAGCCAACCCAAAATGGGTTTATGTCTATGGGTTAGAATAATTATTAGTATAGTCAGAGAGTAATAATGCAATAAACCAAAATAATAAAGGATGGTGACAGTAATACAAATTCATGCTTAAAGTAAGGTATCTTAAGTGTAACCCAAAACTTGATATTTAGGCTAATATTAGCCATTACGTTTGGTAGCCAGAACCCAAAATGGGTTTTCACTTTTGTTTTTCTCTCTTCCTGCTATCCTTCTCTCTTTTTTCTTAATCAGGAGGCTTCACGAGAGCCATGAGAGGACTGACCACCGTATATGGTGGTCCTTCTTCACTCCAGCTCTGTCCCCCTAAATGACCATATTTTCCTTCTAAATCGAAACCTAAGGCCAAAAACCTAAAAAAATTTCAAATTTTTTTTACTTTTTTTTTCGACCGAACCCCAAAACTAAACCTAACACACCAAAAGCCTCATCTTTTCATCTATTCTTAGCTTTAAACCGACCAAGAAGAGCCTCTCTGATCTCCTCTGACTGACGGCGCTCACCAAAACCGAAGGTAAAAGAAGTTTCTTTTTCGTTTCTTCTACTATATTTTGAATGAAATTAAATGCAAGGGAGATGATAACCTTTAGGAAAAATATAGTTCTTGAATTTGAAAATTTTCTTCTCTGCATATTGATAATTTTCAGATGATTACAAACTTTTTCGATTTTTTTCTCTCTATTTTTTTTTGTTTTCGTTTCTTTTTTTTTTTTTTGTTGAAAACCGAGAGCCCACGCTCTTGTGTTTGAGATTTTTTTTTTCTCCTCCCTTTTTCCTCTAATCCTCTGCTTATTTTATGATTGATATCTCCACCTAATCTTAATGGATGCATCTGCATTTTCTTCATTTTTGGTAGGATATTGACAGGTTAGGTATGATTTAGGTGATATGCTTTTGACTTTGCTGATATTGTTTGTTTGTTTTTGTTGTTCAGTGGCCGACACGGTGATGATGATGTTTCAACTTGCTTAGATGTGACTAGCCTTAGTGACTCGTCGGTGGAGAGGCTTGGTACTGTTATTAATCTGGGTCTGTTGGGTTGCTTATAATTGGGCCACATTTGACCTGCATAAAAATATAAACACACTTAATAATAATAATAATAATAATAATAATAATTTAATAATATTTTTTAACTCTGAAAAAAAAATGAGTGTCTACACACATCATTGCATAGATTGTTAAGAAATAGATGATTTCTTCGTCGGAGCCGAAATAGTTTTCGACTTTTCGGTGATTTTGTGATCACAGAGGAACTCGGCATCCCCCGGCATGTTGACTAAGCATCCCATGAAGGTCATTGCGTATGTCATTATGTGGTTGTAACATTGCTCGAATGTGACACGATTGAGGAGGACCGGGGTCGTGAAATTGTCGACGGTGAGATGTGGGATTTGAAGCACGCCGTTGTCACTCTTCCCTTGCTTGAACTGGATTCTTGCTAGATGAAATGTTTTGGCTGATGAGATCGATTGAAGGAATGCCAAAGACTCTTCGGTCGCACTAGGCTAACGAGGACAATGCTGTAAGACGCAATGTTCCTAATTATTGGTCGATATAGTGAGACAAGACACGAAATTCCTTAAATGACATTTAAAATTTAAATTTTATTGGTACAAGTAAAACCTACTGAATTGAAAAAAAAAACTCTATAGTATCCAACATCAGTTTTTGTTCAGGTCCATAAACTCCAGGCTGATGCAAATTAACAAGGTAATCATTAAACTCAATTAACATATATAGAGGGATCCGTCTAATTGTATTCAAAATTCAAGTGAATCTTTTATTTAAATTATGGACTAAATGACCTATATAAATAAACGCCATAAAATGAACTTTTTTTTACACATAAAAAATTGAATTTTCATTAGCTTTTTCTAATTTTTGAGGACTTATTTAATCATAATTTTTCAAAAAAGAAAAGTTTTATTTGATCCATAATAAAAATACGGACTCATTATCAACAACTAATTAGTTCAATGGAATGGGACACTAGATATTTTAAGCAAGATTAAAGGAGCTTCAATTATGACGTCGTGAATGAAATAAACTGAGTTTGAATAGTCACCCTAATAATAAACCTATGTTAGGGACGAAGCTATGTATAAGGTTGGGGGCACTACCCCTTAATTTTTTATCATTAAAAAAATATATAGAGATAAATACTTATTTAAACCTTCAAATTTTGGTTTATTTTGATTTTACCCTTCTCATTTTATATTGTTAGTTATACATTGCGCCCCTTGAATTAGAATCATAGCTCTGTCCCTGACCTATGTAATACTTATTTTGATTAATCAATCAATAGATCATATATGAATTTATTAAATAAAAAAAATTATGGACTCACTTGTTTTTTTTGTTAGAGAAGCCTATTTGTGGATTTGAGATGTTAAACCTGTATTTTTTTATTTTATTTTCAATTAAAAATATATAATAAGAACGCGTGACAACATTTTACGTTCACTTGTGCAATTTTATTGTGCTAACAATGTATAAAATAATTATCCTACGATTAATTATCAGTTGGTCTAGCATAATGATATGTTAGATCGCTTAAATAAAGATTAGAGGTTTTATTATTAACGTTATGAACGAAAATTTTGGATTGAAAGTATCGTCTCCCTAGTGAACCTCTACTAAATTCGATCTGAGCTAATTAATTAATTAAATCAAATATATATGGTGAGACAATATTTATTGTATTAGAAAAATACAAGAGATGAACGCAATTGGATTGGAATCTTATGATAAAATATAGAAATAATAATTTTGGATGTTATTGGTGAGCATATTCAAGAGAAAATTCCATAATTTCCCAATCCAAAATGCGTTTGTATAAAGAATGTTTCTTAAACAAATCATCGTTTAGTTTCTTAATTTTTTCATATACCTAACCCCAAATCAATTAATAAAGAGGCGTGGGGTTCAATTTCAATATAAATCATAAAACAACAACCATAATAGAAAATTATTTTGCCCTTGAATGCATATACATACACATCCTAACCTTGCTTTCCTATCTTAAACCGTAAAACCAATTCCACCCGTCTACTTATGATTTTAGTCACTTTTTTATATTAAAATTACAGATTTGATCCCTCAATATTAATTTATCATAATTTAATTATTTTTATAATGTTATTAGTAGGTCTAAAATAATAATTTGGTAGATGTTTTAAAAGTGATGAACTGAATTTCCTTTAAAATTATGTTAAGCATTTGATTGATATGTAAACTTATTATTAGTTGAGAGATATTAGGTGGTGTTTGATGATTGTCCATCCTTCTGATTTGGGCGGAAAGTCGTTGGAAAATGACAGTGATCGAAAATAGAAATTGTGTTTAGATTTTTTCTTTCAGATGATAGAGATAAATTAGGGAAAAACTTATATAGATTACTCGTTAACTCTTAAAATAACGTCTTCTTATATAATCTGCATCTCTAATGTCATGTATTGTCAATAAATTAGTGGGGGAACCATGAATAGATTGCCTTAAGGTTTATTTATTGTCATATATTCTATTTGATAAGAGAAGATGACTAGACAGACTAGATTGTCTAGTCATATATTTTAGGGTAAAGTACATGAATGATCTCTCGATTATAGGACGTTCCTTGATTGAGTCTCGACTATTAAAAGTTACAAAATGGTCACATACCTATTCATACGTTTCAAACTCGTCATTTTCCATTAAAAAATTAACGGCAGTCTGTGCTGGACGTTACCCTACTAACTGAGATTTGTTAAAATATGATTTCATATCTCAAACGACTATCATATCTCAGTCATCATGTTAGCGTCCATCTTAGACGACGGTCATTTTTTTTTATCAAAAAAGGATGAGTTTGAAACATATGAATAGTCGGGTGACCATTTCGTAACTTTTAAAGGACGAGAGACTTAAAGAATATTAAGATGAATTAAAATTAAATTATTCATATTAAGGTAAGAGTGTAATTTTACCATTATATTAAATTATAAATTTATAATAATACCATTTTAGGAAGACTAAGAACAGTGCAATTGGAATCTTTTACGCATAGTTGGGTACAAAAAGTCCATAATTTCCAAATCCAACTTGCATTTGTATAAAGAATGATGATTTTCATCAACTCAAACCATAATATATATACATTATTATAACTACACTACAGACAATATAAATGCAATCATCATTTGTTTCTTTTCTTTCTTCAAATTTTTCTATATCTAAGCAAAATCAAGATCCCTTTTCCAATACATATCATAAAATAACCATAAATCAGTGGTCGATTTTAGTCCTTCTAGCTGATTTTATTTATTTATTTATTTAAATTTAATACAGATTAATATAAATTAGTTCAGTTAATTGAGTATTCGTCGATATTTTGATAAGAGTCAAAGTTATAATCATGTCTCAAGAGTTTATTTGATCGTCAATTTTGAAATAAGAGTAACAATAGAACCTAAGATTACAAAATGATCATACAATGAAAGATTAAAATCTAATCAAGAAAATTCGAACAAAAAAAAAAGATAGAAACAGATCTAATCAAACATAATTTATTAAAATTTCAGAATAACTATTTTTGTGTGATTGAGTAACAATAAAACAATTATTTTAATTTAAAACTACTTAAGGGAGCAAGTTATGAAAAACTAAAGTAGAATTAAATATCAAATTTTAAGATAGTTGAAGAACTAAAATCATAATTAAACCTAACCTACATTGATTGTCAATCTCGTTTCTTATCATTTCAGTAAACAATCGGGTGAAAAGATCCATATAGAAACTAAATATAACTTCAATTCAGAAACTGATGAAATGATTACATACATGCATGCATACATACATATGCATGTAGTGTTTAATTTGCAGAAGAGAAATAATGTAAGCTTAGAACATTTGATCAAGAAGAATAACAAAAGCCATAGCGAAGTCCGTCCTTATACTATCAGGCTTAACAACGAGACGAAAAACGTCGGTTCCGAAGGCAACCCCTCCATCACCCTCTTTCCGCCTTATCTCCGCCACCAACCTGCGGTTGTCATCCAACACGGTGCACCGCCGTTGGGAATAAGACCCTTCAATCTCGTACACGACTTTCTTACTCCGATCGTTACCGTCGCCGCCGATAACGTAAGCCAAGCACGCGTTGTTCAGTATGTTGACCGATTTCTTCACCGAAAATCGAGGGCCCGCCGTGGTTTCTTCTCCCTCGTAAACCAGCCAGTTGTCCCCCAGTCCCAGGCTCATTTTCTGATAAGGACTTAGATAAATTTAAACGAAAATGGAGATATAAGAAAAGATATAATATACCTTGCGGCGGATGGTGAGGAGAGGTTTGCCATTGGCATCCATTAAAAGGATTGATCTTTTGTTGCTTTGCATGTAATTATCAACCCTGAATACTAAATCGCCTTTACCATCAAACACCGTGAACCCATCACAGCTTAACAGCAATGATTTTTTCCAGACTGTGAGAACCGCCTCCTCCTTTGGCGTCTCCTCCAAGTTGGACGGCTCGCCGCTGTTAAAACCAGCATTGGGGTGAACCTTTTTCATCCTGAAAGGTTCCAGCCTTTCGTCACTCCAAAACGAGAAAAACGATTGCAACCAGAAAGTTAACCACCTGCAACTCAGCTCAACCCAACAGGATCAAAGATATATATAAGTATATGAAAGAGGGAGATGATTCGACTTTTGACAAAAGTCTAACACGAGTAGTCTAACATCATGAAAAAGACGTCAACAAAGCATTCGATTGGACGGTGAAAATAGTTGAAAAACAATGGATGGAAACAAGAGGATGGCTAAAGACCAAACTTTACTTGGAGGGTAGTTGAATATTATAGTACTGTTGGGTTAAATTGTGTGGCTGAGAACTATTTCACGGTGGGACACAGTGGAATGATAAGGGCCTTTGTGTTGGATATTTTAGTGTACGACAATTGACCGATTCTTTGATACTCTATGGAGTTTTAGTAGAAATAAAACACGGGCTCGGAGCGGTTTTCCTGCATACATAGACATGGTTCCCACCACATTAGGAAGCTTTTCTTCTTTTCCCCCTCTTATAAATATAAAAGATTTTTCGTCTAGGAATATGAATCCACATAACTTTCTCCATGTCTCTGTCTTTCGTGTATCAAATAATGACATCTTTGGAATTTCTCGAAGTCTTCCTTACTTTCTAAAAATATTATACCATCTCCAATTTATTTTAATTTTCTCCAGTTTCATATCCTCTTACCTGCTATAATATCTTAACATAATCAACAAAAGACCCACTTAATCTATAATTCATTATCTGATAGCATATCTATTTAGCCTTTCATTCTATGAGTAGTTATGACTCTACGTCTGGCATTAACACTAATTTAGAGGTTGCACGATTATTTAGAGATGCTTGGTAATCAGATAAATCTTTCACGATTTTACATGTGTTAACAATGTGGCTAAATTAACTTGGATTTCTACTTTCCGTTGTCATGCTTTTCATAGTCCACTGGATATGATACTGTCTATTTTACATGATTGTCAAGCTCAACAATAGAACCTGTCTTGCAATGATTTTCATAGGAAAAAAAATCCCAAAACAACCAAATTCTACATAGAAATCATCAAACATATTGCTAAATTCCGACTCCTTATCATTTAGCTTTCAAAAGAATCAAAACCATACATAATTCCACATGGTATCTTTTATAGTTTCCATTGGCAGCAAAGAAGTGTTCAAATTATTAAAGCAAATGAACAAGCAATGTCATGCTACAAAGAAACCACAAGAGTCGGGAAAAAACGTCTTCCATGCATGAGTGGAGAGCCTCATTCCTTCTTTCCAATCCCATGAGACATGTTATAGATCCCTTGTCCCTGAAAAAACAACAAGCACAAAACATAAGCGATAGTTTCATCAATCTATTCTTTGGCAAATTCGAGCCTAAAATTGTTAGACGTGTTTAAGTTGGAAACGAACTTACTATTAAGAACAAGGAACTTGCAGCCAGAGCAGCAGGAATTGCGACAGAAGTGATCTTATCGTAAGGTCCTTTCAGGTAAGTGTGTTTGTGGATGTTTTGGAAATATTTCTGATACCCTATAAGCTTTTCCCTAGGTCTGAATGGTGGCTCTGACATCCTGCGTCACAAGGTAAATAATACAGTTATAGGTAATCTAATAGAGATGATTTTTAAAGCTCCCAATGCCCAATAAAACAACCAAAAATTCACACACCACAGAAATCCGCTAACCTACATCCCCATTACCCATAACTTCATGTTTACAAAAACAAGCAGACATCAGTTGCACTTGCATCAACAAGACACAAGATCTAATGGCAGCCCCCCCTATGTTACTTGGACCTTGGATGTTAATGTAGATATGGCTGGTATGGTTAGATTTTTCCAAATTTTTTCATGTATTTGGAGGACCTATGAAGGTCATATCCCCATATCAATGTGCCTGAATCTTGGATCAAATTACAGAAAAATAAAGAATCCGAACAGCATAGGCACCCTTTTATTTGTTAATTAAAAAAAAGATAGATTAAAACATGGGTGGCTGATGATCTTAACATAATATCAGAAGCTGATTTTTAGCAATGGAATAAAGTTAACCATCACAATATAGCCTAGAAATTGAATCTTACTAATCAAACCAATTCCAAAAAGTTAATCTAGACAATTTTGAATAAAAATTAGTCAATTCCGTTGCTGGAAATCTATACTTTCTCAAGCCATAAAGAGCAGAGATCGACTCCAATAAACCCAAACTAATAAAAAAAAAAATACAAATCAAAGAAAAGTTTGCCCCGTAAATCAAATCCGCGGATTATTATTTACATTGGTTCGATCAATCAATTTGATTTTTTTTTTAAAAAAATAAAAGATTTATATTTAAAAGAATCTAGTCATGATCCGAATCTCATTTGAGAATATAAAGCTTGGTCTTACCACATTCTCCCTGACCTTTCAAACCAAATGTAGAATAAAGAAACCACTTTCTTCTTTCAGTAGAGGTCTAAGTTTGAAGCCTTAGACATGGCTCAGAAAAGACCAACCAGCTAGGGAAAAAAGTGATGTTGAGAGTCAAGTCAAATATTTCTGAACTATTTCTTAAAATTTATAAGTGTAGGGGTGAACGTTCAACCGAGTCGAGTCAAGTAAAATTTTTTTCAAGTTATTCAAATCAAAGAGTACTATTTTATAACTCAAATTTTATTTGAAATCTTTCCAAGTCGAGTTTTCGAATTTTTATTTAAATTTAATTGTAAATATTTATAATATTATGATAATATTTGATTCTAATTTAAATGACTTTTTAATAATCATATATAATATAAATATTCATGTTTTTTTCATATGTGATACTCATATATAATACAGAACTGAGAGCCTCGACTCAAACTTTAAAATTAATCCACTAATTACTAAAAGTTTTGAGTTATTTGAGTTGTATTTTATAACTCGACTTGAATTTGAAATTATTTTCGAGGTGAGTTTATGAAATTAAAACTCAAAGTTAATTTGAATCGAATTTATATTACAAAAATATAATTTAAATAAGTAAGAAAATGTAGCACTAAAAATCATATTGTCTATAATTTTATATTTCACCGTCATTCATCATTATCTTTGCTAATATTTTAATAAAATTATTAATACTTAGTCCTAATCTGATTTGTACTTAACTCCTGATTATGAAAAGCAAGCAACCCAATAATTCATGTTTCTCAACCTGTAATTTCCCTCCGAACATACAAAAATCGACAGAGGCCAAGTTTTGAACATACTAGACCGTTAATTTATTTCGGATCATACACAAAGGACAAGTGAAATAACTTATCTGTATCTAAAGAGAATTCTAAAACAATTTTAAGTGGCTGCTAATTCGACCATGTCCGAATTATTCTAAGCGATCGGTCATGAGATTGCTTTTTGAAAAAAGTGTTAATGACATCTACTTCAGGGTTGGAACATTGACGGCTATTGCAATGCTAAGATTTGCATGAATTCTGAAGACAACCCATCTCAATCGTCTAAATATTTCCACAACATAACGTTTGGCATTAAGAGCTTGGGTCTTCATCCCTTCATGTTTTTTTTTCGAATCAATAGAAATAAATGGTAATGATTTGAGGTATTTTTCATCTCATTTTTCAACTTCTAGCATGCTGTATATATGTTGGAATTTCAAAATATGTAGGAAATAGAACGGGATAAGGAGGAGTGTTTTATTACCTTGCTCGATCGGAGTTAAAAGCTTGGGTGGCCTCCGTTTTGCGATGGCCGGCGTTGGGAGCCTTTGGGGAGGTAAACGACGCCACGTGGTGAAGAAGGGGAGAGGGAGAGCTAGGGATTAGAAACTGTCGAGCATAATAGAGATGGAGAAGGAAGTGTTTGTTTATTTTAATTTTTGGGTAAATCACGATAAGGTCCCTATACCTTTAGCATGTTTTACATTCTGATCACTAGTTTTAGGTTAAATTTCCCTTTTAGTCCTTTCTGTTTAAGGTGATTCGTGTTTCAATAACTTTTTGGGGTAAATCATTCCTTAGGTCCCTATATTTTACGCATGTTCTATATTTTAGTCCATAATTTCAACACTTTCCTTTTTCTTTTTTCCTTTTCTTTTGTATTTGATGTTCTATCCTTTTAATTTCTTACCCTTTTAATTTTAATATATATTTTTGTTTACTTATTTAATATAATTATGATATTTTTTATTAATTTAGTCAAAGTTACTATTTTATTCCTATATTCAGATTTTATTATTTTTATATTTAAGTTGTACATTTATTTTAGTTTCCTTTATTTACATGTAATTACCAAATAAGCTTACTTTCCATCCATTTTAGAATCATGTTAGCATTTGTATTTATTTCCTTTAATATTAGTCCGTTAAAATTTATTCTTCATATTTATATTTGCATTTACTTCATTGTAATAGGTAAACATTAATTGCATGAATATATACGTTTTATTGTACAAATATGTTTGTATTAATTGTGTGGAATTAACAATTATTCTCATATGTTTACGTGTATATTTGTGTATATATTTAACTTTCTATTATTTTATTATCATGCAATGATATGTTTTTACTATATTTACATTGTATTTTACATTTATTAAATACATCTTATATTATATTATGTACACATTACATGTTTTTATTTATGAATATATCGAACACATTTTATTAGTTTATAATAATATCTTACCTTGAGAGTATATGATAATATAATTACTTATTCTTAAACTTTACCTTAATATTAATTTTAATTTAGTCCCTATTGCATGATTAGTTTATTGTCTTTTAGTTTAGTAATTTAAAATTTATGCAATTAGGTCCTTAAACTTTTAGTCTCTTAGAGCCCGATATTTTAGTTCTTTAACCCTTTTAGTCCTCGAACTTCGATTAATGTCTATATTGACATAATTAAATAGGTTAAATAGAACTTCCATTTTAGCTTAGATTTCAAACTAGTCATTTAATTTAGGGGATAATTCGAGTCGGCCCTCGCGTAAACGCTCGAGGGACCATCTCGGTTATTCAATTCAATAATTGATTAAAATTAAATAGGATTAATATTAGAGTCTACGCCTTTAGATTTAAGCCCCTATGTTCTTTAATTTTCATAATTTGCCACCTTAAGTTAGAAAAAGCCTTAATTTATTTTTAGTATAATTACGATTAAATAAAATTTTGCTTGATTGGATTGTTTTTAAAACTTAAGGCAATGTTCACTTATTAAGGAGTTAACAGTATATCCTCTGCGATCGTGTTCATGGGGTGACTACTGGTAATTCTCTAAAAAAGTCGACACCCTTTTCAAAATCGCATCATGTTTTCTAAAAAACGAGGCAATGTTCGGTTATTAGACACAATAGTTGATCTCCCGCATTTATGCTCGGGAGTGAATGTTATCGGCCTTAATAAACGAATACCCTTTTTCAACTTTGCATCCTTAATGATTTTTAAATTAAATAAAGATTGGACTCAAAATTTATGATTTTAAATATAGGGTAATCAACTAGGTACCAATTTTTGGGCGCTTGTGGGGGTGCTAATCCTTCCTGTTTAGTTAATCGATCGATGAAATCGGCCAAGAGGGGGGTGATTTGGCAATAAAAATTTTGGTGGAAGCTTTTGTAGAAAATTGAAAATAATTGCACAGAGATTTACAGTAGTTCGACTTTATCAACCAAAGTCTACGTCCACTACCTTAGCTATCCACACTAAGGATTTTCCAACAAATTCACTAATTTGTTCTTTCTTTTGAGGCCAAAGAGATAACCTTACAACTCCCTCAAGAATTATACCCCAATTCTTGAGAACACTCTTTCTCAAAGAGAAGATTACAAATTTCGCAAACTTACAAGAAAACCCTCACAAGGTAAGATGATTGCACAATTCTAGAACAAAGAAAGAACACTTAAGAATAAATATAATTGAGCTCAATAAGTGTTCTTGAAAGCAAAATGAATATTGAATGAAAAATAGGCTTGAAATGCTCAAACTTGAGGTTTGATGCTTTCTCTTTGATTCTCTCTCTTGATTCTAGTTGCTTGATGTTTCTTGTTATTGATCAATGGCTTCTAAGCTTGTTTAAATACACCTTGAATCACTTCTGAACGTTGGGGATCATTAATGAAGTTATTGGAGCCGTTTAAGTGTGAAAATAATTAATATTTCTGCTTAGAGCGTGGGGGGAATCGGTACCCCCTCATGGGGAATCGGTTCCCAAAGTGTAAAATTCAAATATTCGACCGTTGAACAGTAGGGGGAATCGATACCCCCTGGGGGGAATCGGTTCCCTCCAAGCACACTGTTATTTCTCGGAGCAAAACCATTCAGGGGGAATCGGTACCCCCTTGGGGGGGAATCGGTTCCCTCTGGACAAACTGTAATTTTTGGCTTTGAAACGGTTCGAAATACTTTGTAAAATTGTTTTGAAATTATTTTAAGAATAAAACTTAATTTTACACTTTAGTAAGGATTTAAAATGAACTTTGAAATACTTTGAGTAATATTTTGATATTCGATTTAATATATTGAATATGCTTAGAAAAATCATTTTCAAAATTAAAATTCTTTTAATTTAATTTGTTATATCGAAACATCAAAATGTTTTCAACAATCTCCCCCT